AGGGGTTTAACTAGGGGCAACCAAGAACAAGTCCATAGAGTGGTGGGGAGAAGAATGTAAACCTCAGGACTGCTAGATTGCAAATTGAACACCCTTATGTTTCAGCCATGCAGCCTTTGTAGTATCCTGAAAGGTCCAAAACTTGCAACTATTATGGTAATGACGACAGTCTGAGTTTGACTAGTGTTGATATACCAGCTAAAAAGATGTTTTAAGTTTATTAGGGATCCCTATTACAATAGTTTTAATAGTGCCCCAAAAATTTCAGCAGGGAAATGTTTGGAAAAAGACAACTTGTAAATTGACTTACAAGGTTGAAATTTTCAGACTGTTACTTGTTTCAGTTGACATGTGATTATAACTTAATTGATGCACTTTCTTGAGTCATTCTCAAAAATATTCTCCTTCGTTTTTAGGACCATTATGGGGAGTGTCCTAAATTCCCTGTGAAATGTGATAGCTGCAAGAAAGAAAATATACCAAGAGGAGAGGTGAGTAAAAACGTGAAGATGATTAACGCTCTACTAAATTCATCTAAGTTCATTTTGTAGCAACCAGTGTTTTTCTTCAACTCAAATCTACTAACTTTCACTCATTCGCTACATTTTATTATCAGTATTTCTTTGTCTTGATTTTTCAGTTTTTAGAATGGTGACCCTTTTCACTCAAAAAAACATTGCTAATGTCTATTCCTTCTGCAATTTTCATCCCTGAGCTTTTAAAACACAGCTGTAAGCAACCCACCTTCTAATTGGGCAGATATTGGGTGCCATCCTTGACTTTAAGGTTACTTTCATCAAAATCATGGTCAACCTTTTTAAAATTTCGTCTTTTCGCTCTTCAGTAAGGGAAAGCAATTAAGTATAATTTGTCGAAAACTTTTCAAAATCTTTAAAAGAACGCGAGATACGGCCGAAAGAATGTTTTTGGGAAACCTATACTGAATAGCGAAAGGCCTCCAGCAAAGTGTTGACGTTTTTCGTGGGCTTTTGTCCTGCTCTCGCTTTGCATATGCTGTTTACATCGCATCTTGCACCACACAAGAAAGGGAAATTTCCGTCACATGTCGAAAAATGTCAAGAAATAAGATTCTTTATTAAACAGCCAAAAAGAGAATAGTCGTGAGAGAGCATGGGCCGAAGAAATAGAAGTCAAGGTTTTCTTTTTCCCCCAGCTTCTTTTGCCCACTTTTTCCTTCAGTTTTTGCGTATGAATTTTTGGACTTCGTTTAATCCATTGTAAATCCACGAAACATACTGGGGGGTTCGATGTCGCGTTTCTTTGGTCAGCGTCTTTACCGCATTGTCATGGGCTTAAATGCGAAAACTGTGAATTTCTTAGGTGGCCGAAAACTTGAGGTATGCTTTTATTTGCTTTATCTCTACTTCAATGAATTGATAGGGTATGTAGATTTGTTGGATTTTCATGAAAATTGATGTGCGTGAGATCCGTGAAATTCGAAATATTTCTCTCGTGATGTCCCAGAGCGTGACAACAACCGAAATATTTTCTATCGTCAAACTTCAAAAAATATCTTCTCAAGAACCAACAGAAATATCGAAAAAGCATGGCACATTTTATTAGCCTATTACGCACCGAGTGACACTGTAAAGTTTGTTTGGAGGTCCGCGGTAACACATTGGCTAGTAATTAAGTAAACACCGTCGGTTTTGTGTTTAAAAGGCTCGCGCATGCCTGCCAAAACAAAAACTGAAAAACTTATGTTATTTCATAATTTATACTTTGTTAGCTTTACAGTGATAAATACTTTTCCATGGTTTCTTTAAAAGTAGCAGGCGTTGGAAGATTTTTCCGGAAGGCACCTTAATTTGTTGAAAGTAACCCTGAGCTCCCTAAGCTCCCTCCATGTTCCCTGTGGACGAACCCCACCTTCGTGTGAAAACGAGGTAGGCAGATGTTTGCAACCCCTCCCAAGCCCGCTGCATTTGACTCTCCCGAACAACAAAGTGTTCGCCGACTACTTAAGCTGTGACAGGACGTGAGCAGCGGGCATGTCTTTGCAAATCCGTGCAGAATGACATATATGTCATAAGTATGTGTTCCTTAGTTTCAAGAACATTTGGACAAGGAATGCACTGCAGTGGAAATGAAATGTCCTTTCTACTTCGTGGGATGTTTATTTGAGGTACGTGGAGCGAAACTGTAACTGTGGTGATTACACGGTCACTGTCTCTTTAAAAACAAAAGTACGTTGAAACCTGTATCAAGTAGACCCCATATCAAGGGGACGTGAACTTAAGTCCAAATATTTTCTTCTCTTTTAAAACGAAGAAAGTGAAATGAAACTGTATTTAGCACCATCTTTTTTATTATACACAGACTCATGAATAGGTTTATTCGTAGATTTTGACACTTTGCAGGGGTCCGTAGGGTGTCAGTTAAATACAATTTTTGCTGTCAACCGTACAAGACAAGGACATCTACCAACAGACCATTTTGTCCCACACACCGTCAATCAGTCATTAAGTCAGTAAGTTAGTTAATGAGTCATGAATAAAGGGGCAAGTCTCTAAAGGAACTGTGGTAGAGCGTCGGTTGGGGAATTTAACAAGTTACCTTTTTGTCGTAAGCATCTCTGCGGTCCGGAATCCTAAATCCTCGAATCTGATTGGCTAATTCCGCGCACTCAGCAGTGAGGATTTTCCTATCCGAAACTTGGGCACGGACCGCTCCGAGTTTTGCAACTTTAACTTTTAATCTTTACCCGAGAGAGGCTGAAAGATGTAAATATTGCAAGAAGTGACTCACAATTGTGGATTTAGACAACAGAGGCTATTGAAGCGAAAAGAGGTTAAATTTTAAGAGGTAAATTTTCGAAGATAAATCGTCCTCATCGAAAATGATAAATACTTTTCGTAAGATTGCTGACTCTTTTAAAATAAAAAATCGTCGTCATAGTCATTTAACTCGAGTTTGTACTGTTTGTCCATTCAGAAGTGTACATGCACTTTTGTTTGCACTCTATAATTGACAAGTGTCGGATTGCAACAAATACTTCTGAAAAAAAATGTTTCAAAATTTTTTTGGAAACCTTTTAAATCACCTTTACAATTTCGCAAATAACAATGATTCGGTGAAGGCTTTCTCGATAATTTGCATCAAAACTGTTCTCTCTACCATCTATTTGTCAAAAAAATTGCCAAGTCTATGGAGGATCTTGCCGTAATTACAGCCCTTAATAATTTGGGTTCCTTTGGCAAGTATTTTGTTAGGTTTTAGATAAAATAGATATATATCTTATTCACTAGGCCAGGTCGGTCCGTATTAGGAAAAACCGTGCCCTTTGTCTTGAGTACAGCCTACGGCCTCGGGCGATATCCAAGACCTCGGGCCCATTTTTCCCAAAATGGACCTTACGGCTGGCGAATAACTCGGTATATAATGTGGTTTTATCAATTGAGTTGATGATGTAAATTTGCCCCCGTAAATAATTTCAAGGCTGACGTTTCGAACGTTAGCCCTTCTTTAGAGCGAATGGAAGAATTGTGGGTAGTGTGT